ACCCCCCCCCCCCCCCCCCCCCCGCCGCCGCTTCCTCCTCCGGCGATCGATTCCATTAAAGTACGAGCCCCCTATCTCCACCTTTGAATTCGATTATTTATAGTTTGAAACTTAAAAGAGGCATCTTTGAGATTGAATTTTGATCTTATTGTTGGTTTATGTGTTGTTTTAAGTTCTTTGGGATTTTTTAATGATCTTGGTTATTTTCTTTTAGGTTTATAGATGGCCAGTGGTCCACCGCCATTCTCCGATATTGGAAAGAAAGCTAAAGGCGAGTCCTTTTCATGCTCAAACTATTATTTTTTAATCCATTTTCTGTTATATTACTTCAAATTTTGACATTGGAATGAAATGCTGGCTACTTACTTGTATACGTTTTTATTTCTTACTGTATGTCGAACTGATAAATAATTTCTTGTAAACTGCATTTTTAGTTGTAAATCTATAGATAATAGATATGCTGGTTGAAGGACAAATTCTGTGTTGCTGGCTACGGCGGTTTGAATTTTTTTTGCAAAATTAATGAGCTATTATTGATTGGTTATGTTACCGAAGAGCATGTTAGAACTGACCATACGAGAAAGCACTAGCTGAACGGTGTTAGTTTAGCTTGTGTGCCGGTATTTTATGAGCTGGACCACCTGTGTTAGTTTGAAAATTTAATGGTCCGAGAAAGCAGATAGTCGATGATTTTGCAGTCTCTTTGTGACCACTCTAGTGTTTCAGGCTCTGTGCTGTGAAGGGCCTGAGCTGCTGGTATTTAAGCAGCAGTATCACTTCCATTTCCCAGAAGCTGACTGACTGGAGTGCATGATAGAGGTCCTTAGTCTACTGTATTAGTAGGCAAGGTTTTTCTTTCTTCTTCATCACTAACCCACTTTACTAGGGGTGATGTAATATGCTTTTTGATTTTTTTTTTAATTTGAGCTGTAGAGCGAAAATTGTTGCACTGTTTACTTGTCAATCAATTGCGAGCTAGTTACCCGGACACTGCATCCGGGCTCCTGTATCTGTGTCCATGTCTGACACTTCTTGAATATATGCGTACATTTACTTAGACATGTACTCAATTATATAATAAATCTTTTGTTTAAAACGTTTGTAATGCAATTCTTAGATGTATGTATTTCCTCAAATTTTTGCAACTCTTCCTACTCTTGCCAATTTTTCTTTCAGGCTATACCCATTTTATAAGTATGATTTTAAAGGGTCGTTCGGGTATCTGGTTAGAAAACTACTGGCTTTTCAATTGATAAATCTATTCAATAAAAGAAACACAAAAATGTTATAGGGATTTTTTGTTCTCATAACATGTGAATAAAAAAATAATGTTAATCGATTCTCATATAAATTATTAATTTCAATTATATACATGTAGTCGTATCCCTGTGTCTTGCCTTCTATAAATTTGTCGTGTCTTGTATCAGCACATGCACTTGTACCCTTGCAACATAGATTGTGACGACTTTTAATCACTTGATTGGACTTATTGCCTTCTCTGTTCAATGTCATGAACCTGATTGTTGGTTGTACGGGAATACTTAATTGTAGTTATAGGAACATATAATATATCCATGCACTATGGAGGCAATGTAATTTATTACATAAGTTCTCTTCTTAAACTAGTTGGTCAATAGGCTAAAAGCTTTGGATATATTACCCCAAAAGTGAAATCCTGAATGCAACTATTAACGCGTAATGCCAAGTGTGACACTTATATGAATCAAAAGGGAGGGGAAGGAGTTTGAAGTGCTCCCAAAATCAGATGTGACATTTAAATTTGTTGATTGAGGCCACTAAACATGTTGGTTGGTTTTGACTCTTTTAACATGAGTAGTTGAGTGAACTTGTTGAACATGTTGAACTAAGTCTAATTAGATAATTGGACATAGACAACGCCCTCTCATTTAAACAAGCTAGCAAATTTCTCTTGCCTTATGCTCGGAAATGTAATTTCATATAGGCCCTTTGGAAAAGTTGCCTCTTGCCTTGATAGTTTTGTTCTCAATCTCCATTCAGTTGTTATTGTTAAAAGTTGTAAGAATGCTCCTGAATTTGTTGAAGTCCTATAAGATGGTTATACTATTCTACATAGCGATGTTC